CGGGTGCATTTTCCATATGGGACAGCAGTCAGTCAGACTGTTCAAAGGGGAGCTGGAAACCGTCCGGAGGGCAATCCGTTTCCGCCACATGTGCGCAGGTTCCAAAAGAAATGCGCACCTGGCAAACGTGGAAACAGCCCTTGAAAAAGCGGAAAGAATGCAAATTGCCCAAAGGTCAAAGGGCGCCTTGGAAGTTCCTGGAGCAAAATAAGTCAAAGTTTATTCCATCCAGCGCGATAGAAGTGCCACAGGCTGATCTATGCCTTTTAAACCTTCCTGAGCATTGTGCGCCCGATTTAGAAACAAGTGCACAGCGGCACCGATGATAGCGTTCTTCCAAATTTGGCCGTCCCACAACAAGTATTTCCTCTTCCTGCCAGACTGATTCAAACTATGCCAACTGTTTGTCTCCCTCAAATATGAAGCGATCATCAAATGGCAACATTCTCACAATTTCACCATCAAATTCCCAAACAAAGCGAGCTTTATTTCAAAGTTTCCCTCTTCTTTCCACAAATACTTGAAAGCATTCCAACGTGAAACTCTTCACGTCTTAAAACAAGTACAAAACAAAACAACTTTGAAACCGCCATTGGTGCCTTGGTCACATAGTATTGGAACGCACTTGACTTTGGAAACAGCCAATCCTCCATTCCAGTTGCTCCAGAATGCCGCCGCTCGCCTCTTGACTGGTCCTCTTGACTGTCCGATTCCGTGGAAACGGAATCGGACGTCAGGGTTAAAGCCCCGCCTCCGTTGCCGTGTCTCAGGTCCAGTCGCAAGGCGGAGGCTCTGTGCGCCGAACTGGAGCAGCAGAGGGTCTGCTACCTCCCCCTCAACGTCTTCCTCCTGCGGCCTCTGCACCGCCTGCTGCACTACAAACTCATCCTGGAGAGGCTCTGCAAGCACTACCCGCCCACCCACGAAGATTTCAGGGACTGCAGAGGTAACGAGTCCTGCTCGGATGTCACTTCACCATTGCGTGTACGTGCTGAAGAAGTAGATGACCAAGTATTTGGATTTTGGCTTTTTTGACCGACCGGTTCAAATGTCCCAAATTCATGACGTTGGGCGTTTTTCCTCCTACAATGTAGCCATTTACCGGTAAGCTGATGGGCCGCTCCTCGCGGCAGACGAAACAGAACTTCATTCATTTCTGGTTGGGGTTCTGCGTGGCCTGTACGATTTTTCTCTTCTTCGTTTGCCCACCGTTTTGCCGTTTGCGGTTGGATGTGCTCCGCTCGAATGCAGCTCCAGCCTGACTTCTGCAAAAAGTCTTGATCCGACTTGTCGCATGTCGGTGACGTGACCGCGTCTCGGGCGGTCGGCTTATCAAAAAAAAAAACATTTGAGTCTGCGATTCTCACGTTTTGCTCTGCGGTGTGTTTTGATGATGCGCCAGGTGCACGCGTTGACTCGCGAAAGCGCTTATCTTGCGGCTTTTTCCAGTACGGCATCTGGAAATATGGAGCCGATTCCGTCGACCCCGGTTGGGGTGGGGGTGGTCAGCTCTTGGGCCTCGGCGTGCCATGTCATTGTTTGACATGGGCCCGAGCCAATTGTTGCGCGCGCTTCTTGTCTGCCCGCGACAGCGGCCCTGGCGGACATCAGCGAGATGGCGCTGCAGCTGCAAGGCCCCATGATGAAGATGGAGAACTTTCAAAAGCTTCTTGAGCTGAACAAAGATCTGACCGGCATCGACAATCTGGCCATCCCTGGCAGGGTAAGGCGCCCGGCCGCCGCGAGTCCGAGTTCCGCCGTTCAACCTTCTGCCCTTTTTGTCGGACCGACAGGAGTTCATCAGACTCGGCTGCCTCAGTAAGCTGTCGGGGAAAGGCCTGCAGCAGAGAATGTTCTTCCTGGTATGCCCTCCGAGATGCTCGGCAGTGAGCTTCCCGGTGCCACGTGACTCCTTTCTTCTGCCTTGTTCCTCTCCAGTTCAGCGATTCCCTGGTGTACACGAGCCGGGGGACGACTCCGTCCAACCAATTCAAAGTCCACGGCCAGCTCCCCCTCTTTGGCATGACGGTATTCCCAAATCGAGATTGATGCCGCGGACCTTGATTTTGAAGATCGAGGCTTACCCGCTTTGATTTTGGGCCCCACCCTGCCAGTCCGAATCCCGGGGAAAAAAAACAATATCTCTCTGTTGCATTCAAAATGATCCAACATGTTTCTAGAAGATGGCTCCTACGTGTTTGTGCACATGTTTAGATTACAGAGAGCGAGGAGGAGTGGGGCGTCCCTCATTCGTTTACCCTCTTTGGACAACAGCAGTCGGTGGTGGTGGCAGCCAGGTACTCAGCATCACACTTTTTTTTTGTTTTGTTTTTTTACACAGCTACCAAGCTTCCTGGACTTTCCTGCCAGAACTCGTATTTCAAGTTCACTGATTTAAAAAAAAAAAAAAGAAGAAAGATTGACCTCATGGCAAGAGTTGACGTAAGATCCCGTGCCCCCCCCTCCTCCTCCTCCTCCTCCTCCTCAGCTGCGCAGCCGAGATGGAGCGGTGGGTGGAGGACATCAGGATGGCCATTGACCTGGCCGAGCAGAGCGACGGCCCCCACATGGATCTCCTGTCCACCAGCCCCTCAGATAATAGTAAGGACGCATTCTAAGACTTCACTTTGGTACGATCGAACTTTGCGGGAGCCAATCAGAAAGCTCAACTATCGGTGCGAATTGAAAAAAACAAAACGATCAGTGTCATTCTCTTCTGGCATTGTTCAAACTGCTTTCTGCCCTAATAGAAAGGCGACATGCCCCAGCCGTTTTTTTTTTTGGCTCTGCTGTGCAAGCAAAACTTTTGACTCTCAAGTGAGCTTCAGACTTTCTTCCGTGCGATGGTGGCGGCCAAATACACCGCATGGAGCCGCAGTCCCATTAATCTTGAACAGCAGAGGTCACAAACTCAATTTACGTGGGGGCGGATTCGCCTTTGGGTGTATTCGGGTCACATCAAGTCTACCCCCAAAAAGTGCAACCGCTTTCTGAATAACCATCGAGAACATTCTTCAGAACGGGAACGGGGGTCCATCCTCTCTCTCATCTTCCTGGCACTTTGCTCATTCGACTCGAGTGATGACGTCTGATTTCATGAGCGTGCGTTTCACACGTGTCGGCGAGCCACAAAAAAACAATTGCGTCTTCTCTTGTTCTCCGTTGTCTTTTGAAAAGGACACGACTGGGCGACGGGATCGCTTTTCTTTCCACTCGGTGTCCCTTCAGAATTCCATTTTGCCGAAAGCCGTCATGAGCCTGGGATACGGTAGACTGGAAATTGATTTTTTTTTTTTTTTAATCAAAATAAAGGCCCGGGGCAATGACACGGCAAACAAAGTGGGGGCGGCGTTGATCAAATGGCACAAAACAATCCACGATGTTGTTTGGGGCCATTTTATTGCCCGACTAGGTTGGCAGGTTTTCAACAGGTATTGATCGCGCTCGCGTATGTCACCTCCCAGAGCTGCTGGAGGAAGGCGGGGCCGAGCGCGAGTCCGAGGAGGAGGAGCTGCGTGGATCGCGCTTATCGCTGGAGCGCCAAGCTCAGCGCGCCAACACCACCGTGCACGTGTGCTGGCATCGCAACACCAGCGTGTCCATGGTGGACTTCAGTATTGCTGTGGAGGTACGCCGCCGCGGGACTCTTTTGGGGGCGCGCCGCGTGTATCGCGGGGGGCGACACAAAAACAGTTTTAACAGTGCAAGCCAATTACTCCTCGATTTTGAGGACTCGTCACCGAAATTTCACCGAGAGCGCACGCTGCAGGCAAAAGAGAGCTCACCCGGTGATGGGGCGCTGGCCCCTTCACGTTAATTTGAGCCGAGAATCGTCACAGTTACAGCTTTATTTTTTTTTTGACGATTATGATGCAATACTGCACTATTGAATGAAACCAAAGCTCATCACCTGTTTTTGTTGCAAACGTCAATTTGGCGGGCTGTACACCGACTGTTGATTTGGTTCTGCAATCCCGAAGCCAAACAGGAAGCGGAACGCAATGCACTGGGTCAAAGAAAAACAAACAGCTCGTGACAGGGCGAGGTTCACCGTAATAGGATCTTGAAAAAGGACTTTCAAATGTATCGGGGAGCCAGTGAAGGGATGCCAGAGTCGCGGCGACGTGCTCCTTTATGAGGACCGGCTCGATTTTTGCCGGTCCAATTGAAAATCGGCGGTCCGCTTTAAAAACCTAACAGCATCACTTGTTTTATTTTCACTGAAATTCCAGAAATGCCATCGAGTTACGTTCTATCCGAATCTTGGACTCGCTCACCAGGAGCCTTTGGTTCCAAGTGACCTTGGAGAAGCATTTGCGCCAATGAAAACCTTTGGAATGACCCTGACCAAAACTCTCTTCTTTGATTCGTGTCATTGAACTTGTAAAAGCGTTTTGTCATGCAAGAGTACACCCCAAGCATGGAAGGAACAGCATTAACACCCCTCCCCCATTTCTGGTCATCTTCCCATCACTGTCCGTCTTCTTCCAGAACCAGCTCTCCGGGAACCTGCTGAGAAAGTTCAAGAACAGTAACGGGTGGCAGAAACTCTGGGTGGTCTTCACCAACTTCAGCCTCTTTTTCTACAAGTCCCACCAGGTTTGAGAAATGACAATGACACATTTCCACCACTGACAAGACGGCAAAGTTGAGGTGACAGTTTGGGACTTGGGGGACGTGACTTTCACTTTGTATTCAGGGGACTTTATTTCATTTGAGACAGTGCACATGAATCAAGGTGAGAATAAACAGTAGAAATGCGCCGGACTTAGCATACGTGCTAGCTTTCAGCCGTCGTCCCGAGGCAGGTTTTCGAAAACAGCACACATAAAACTTGTCATGAAAGAGAGCAGGCAAGCAGTTGCGAGACTTGATGACAAGATAAAAGAGCAGGACAGACAAATCAATGACAGCTCCAAATGTGCTGGCCAGAAGCCCACCGGGGGCCTGGAAACGCCGTTTCGCGGGCGCACGTCCGACGTGTTCTTCCAGCTCGGAGCACGTGACTCAGAACGTCTCGAGTGTTGCCATGTGACATTTTCAAGGTACTTCCAAAAACGGACGTACTCGGAATCGCTTTGTCAGCCGTCGTGCTTTGGATCAAATTGGGCGAGAAACAACGGCGACTCGACAGCCACCGCGTTGAACTTTGGCCGGCGCTCGGAAAGGCACCAAAACAGCTCGGCTGCTCGCAGTGAAGCTCATCGCTGTTGTTGTCGCTCCAACATTGACCGCGCTTGATCTCCATTAGTCATTTAAGTGAGAAGACAAGAAAGTAACGGACAATACAGAGACTGTTTCAGGCCTTTAGGAAAAAAAAAAAAATGCGATTGAGAAGGCGTCAGGACGGCGAGTGACACAAGTGAAGATCCAAAGGGCAAGATAGTCCCAGTTGACTTGTTGGCGCCGAACCCGAAAGTTAGCCACTTGCTACACGTTCACCCGTTAACGTCGGTGGCACGCGAGAAGAGCCGACCGACCAAGTTTGACGGCGGCGCTCTCCCGACAGGACGACTACCCCCTGGCCAGCCTTCCTTTGCTCGGCTACTCCGTCACCATCCCGTCCGAGTCGGAGAACATCCACAAGGACTACGTCTTCAAACTGCACTTCAAGTCCCACGTCTACTATTTCAGAGCGGAGAGCGAGTACGCGTTTGAACGGTGAGCGCCGCCTTACGGAGAGATGCCTTCGGGATATTGGCCGCTCGGCTGAAATTTGGGGAGGAATCCAAAAATGGCTCAACGTCAAGCACTCCAAACACGGTCGGATATTTGCAGTCGCCAGTTTTGGGGGGGGGGGGGGCGATTAACT